CATCAGAGTGCTACCCCCAGAGTGATGTGCAGCATCCCTCTAACAACAGCCAGAAAATCCCAACCATGTGCAGATAGCAATTTCAGGTACAAAAAGCCATTTTCCCTTTGGTCCACAAACATCAATGTTTCTAATGCCTGCCCTATCATCTGATGATGCTCCATTTGGTATGGGAAAATCCAAATTCTTGCTCATGTCCCACAAGGGCTTTCCCAACCTAGCCCCAAGACATTATGGCATCATCTCCTGCCACCGCCCTCACATCAGTGTTCCATCTTGCTGTACCCTTCATTTCTCTGGGCCTTAACATGCCAGCTTTCACTGCCTACAAAGTTCTTCTCCAATTCTCCTCCAGGCAAGCCCCCAGTGATTCTTTAAGACCCAGTTTAACTGGAAACCATCAGCAACACTTTCCCTAGTTCTTCAAGCCAGAGATGGGCACTGCCTAATCGATGACCCCAAAGAAACTTGCACATACATATTTTTTTAAAATAGCACTCATCACAGCCTATTTTACTTGTTTACATAGGCCCATCCCAAAGATTGCGTGGCTCCTAAGACCGTAAGGATAGCCGAAGTGAAATAGGAGGTGGGTATCAAAATCAGAGGTGACCCGGGAATGGTGCATCCAGAAGCACATTAAATTTTAAATTTGATAAAGGACCAAAAGTACATATTCTTTTCAGTTTATAACACCAAGTTTAAAAAGTTCAGGTCATCAAAATCTTAAACGAACAGGATTCTCATAGGGGAAGCTGGGATGAGACCATCTTTTTTGCTCATCTTTGGGTAAATAAAGGCCAAAGACCAAATATTACACATTGCTCATTCCTGGTATATACTAGGTACTAAGATACCTACAAATTGAATAACAATTTAAATGTTAAACTAAAAAAAATCTTAGATATTGTCTTGATGAAACAAGTTATTTCTTCCCAAAATGTATAACAGGTTCTGAACAGTTTTATATGGGTATAATGACAGTTACTCAAACTTTCTCAAGACTTAAATAAGATTCCTATACATAAAGGAGAAAATTGTAGAACATAATTATTTTTAAAGTTCCCTAATAAAGAGTAAAGAAATTTAATTATTGTGTGCCATATCTCCCATAATCCACCCCCACAAACAACACAGTTATGGCTTTGAACTCTTAGGCTCTTTCTATTCCTCCAAAACCAAAGTTGGCTATAAATAACATATTCATTACAGTTTTAGCCTTAATGGAACATGTGTCATTTGGACAAATCAGAAGCCGTGAAAAAATTATGGTTCCAGGTCATTTTATGCTATCTGAAAGATTTCAGAGGTAAATACGTATACCACACATCAGACTCAGCTGGTGCTACCCGAAAATGCTACTGCTCTCTCTCACATTCCTGGGTTTATAATGAAGAAGGACTTACCCATAACTATTGTTCTCCTAGCTGTGCTTTTAATCCAGTATTGACTACGATCCAGCAAACAGGTAAATAATATTATGGCAAATCTCAAGGAAAAGTGAAACACTTTAATAGAAAGAACTAGTCAACTGTGGGAAGAAATAATGCATTTGACTTTACATACCATGGTATTTCTGTTAATGAGACTTGTTTATACTCTAGCACAACTACATTTCTGTCAAAGTCAGCTGGTAATAGAATTTAAACCAACTTTTAAAAAATGTTTAAACACAGGGCTTATTGATCAGGAATTCTTTCCTTCATAAAACAAGTATTACTAAGTGCCTACTAGGCATAGCCATCCCTCACTACACTTTGGGTGTATCTGTGATCAAAACAGATCCCAGGCTTCATGGAGCTTACATTCTATGGGGAAGGAACAGACCATGCGTCTTACAATGAACCCAATAACTTGTACTGACTGCATAAAGGATGTCTAAGAACCTTTCATTGTGAAATGAAGTTTAAGTTTTCTAATACTGATGTCCTAGTCCTTTATGGACACAATGCCTGTCACTCAACAACTAGATCTCCCTGGTGAAATTCAAAGATACACCTCTTACAACGAACAGAAATAAGTTTAGGAATATGAACCACATCTCTCTACAAATAACTGTATTTCACATTTTCTCTTGAACTAGTGTCCCACAAGGCCTGTCCTATCTCTCAGAGAACAGTGTCCTGTTCTTCCATTCAAATGGAATACATCTCCCTGTCTCTGAAAGCCACGCACACAACATCTTGGCCAAGCACTGCACTAAATGCTGGAGATACAAAGTTGTGTAAGACACAGTCTTTACCCTTAAAGAGTTAACTTCAGAGTAATAGGAGGAAGAGGTAAAAGGAAGCTCAAGGTTTATGAGTGTGTAACTGAAGTATGCAGAGCATGCTGGGTGCACCCAGAGGAGAGGATGATTACCTCTGCCTGCAGAACGCTGCTCTGGGTGGATGGATAAATGTGTGAAGGCAGAAAGGTCCAGTAACTTATATGGGCCAGGAAGCATAGGAGCCTGAGAGAGCAGTCAGAGAGGAAGTGATCCCAAGAAGCTAAATCCTGGAACAGGGGAGGCTGTGTCTGCACAGACACCAACACTGGAAGTTACGCCTCTCATGGGAAGAAATGGAAAGCAAAAGTGCAGGTGGCTTATGAGCGGACAAGCTGGAGTACTGGGCACACTGAGAACAGTGACTGGACCTCAAGGCACTGGTTAACTAATGGGAAAGCATCTGAAAAAAAAGCAAAGAGACCAAGCATCTCCAAAAGGCAAGGAGACCAACAGTGCTAAGAGAACCCAGACCCAAATTGCACCTGCGTTCTCCCGGCAGACCTCGCCAGTGAACATGCTGCCAACTAGTCACCCAAGGTTAAGAGCAGACCCTTCCATTCATATGCCAGTCTCAGTTCAGCAGTGTTCCCAACCAAGCCACAGGGGAAGTGCCACTGTGTGTACCTTCCACATGCGCACAAGCTGGATGAGATAAAGGGAGTTCCCTCCCCCATCCATGTTGAATACCCATGAAACGCATGTCCCAGAATTCATCTGGACTCTATTTTTAACCACAGTCATTATCCTCTGGAACTAGAATATCCACAGTAAGGAGACACTATGCCATGCAATTGTCCTACACATTATATACAGCATTCTGCAGCATAATCATCCATCCCCCCAGTTAGTCTTAGGAACTCCTCAAGGGCAGGGACTAGCTAATAGTAGGCACTCAATTAAGGGCTGACAAACAAATGAATGAATTAACCCACCCATTTTTTCCCATAGTTCCAAACTAGTATAACGGATAGAAAACATACCAATTGGTGCGATTTTTCATTCTAAATGATGGCGGCATGAAGCCTAATCAGCTAGCTTTTTGTAAGCATGACACCCATGACCCTACATATAGACACACAAAGTCAAATACTAGAATCAGAGGAGAGCAATTTTTAAATTTAACTTTTTAAAAAAACAGTTTTCCAGTCTCAGAAATTTGCTGAGTGAATGAGTGTGTCGGTTCAGAGTCCCACCCCACCCCCCAAACATGTACATCGCAGCTTTGAAAGAAACACTGTAAACCAAAATATTCTGAAACAAACAAACAAATGAACAAAAACCTTTCTGCAAAACTTCAAGAACTTGTCTTAAACCCTCATCTCCTCTAAATGACTATATAAATACGCGGTGCCCTGGCCAAGGCTGAAACAGAACATTAGGCAAAAACGGAAGAGAAAATTTTGTTTAAAAAGAGGAAAAAAAAAAATCCCACACTGTTGAACCAAAAAGTAAATACTCATTTACAGCAGACTCTGCTACTCCAGGTGGGTAAGGCTTGGGCCAGGCTACTGAGGCAAGCCTGAGACCAGCTTCACGCATTTAATCTCGAGCATCCGGGTTGTACCTCCTCCCTGTGGTCTCTCCAGCAGTTGCCCTCTAGAGCCCGAACTATAGATGTTAAGCTTGGTGAAGAAGAGAGCTGACTTTGCTGATTAATAATAATAATAATATTTGTGTAGAGAAATGCAAACGTAGTAGTCCAGACTGACAGTTACTGAGCAAAGGCACTTCAAAAGTCAGCCCCTCTCTCTCCTACAGTATGAGCGTGTGTGTGTGTGTGTTTGGGGGGCTGGGGTGGGAGGTCTCGCCATGGTGAGGAGAAGAAGAAAGTGCAAAAACTAATGTACCAGAGAACCACTCTTTCTGGAATTCATAGAGTCTGGCCTTTTATCCCTGGGCGCAAGCCCAAGACTGGGGACACGGGTTTTGTCAGGGGCGCCTCCCCGCTGTCCTGCCCTGGGTTGCTCCACATGAGCAGAGAGAGACAGGAGGCAGGCCCCTCTGACACCTACTTAACCGAGGCAGATGGAGAGGAGAAGTGTGTGGGATGCCTTTACTTCCCCCTGAGGAGGCGCCCAGCAGGAGCCCACAGAGCCAGCAGCTCCAAAATCGGATTTCCACACATCCCCCCACCCCAGAACACACCTTGCCCCTCTGGCAGGAGGAAACGGAGCATTAAGCAAGTGCGGCTCTGGTGTCTGAAGGGGCTTTAGAAGACCTAAAGAAAGAAGCCTTCTTCCAGGATTCTGTACTTTTTCCAAACCTCTAGAGAAGTAGCCAAGTTGGGAAACAGTTCCTCCCTCACTGACCCAAAGAGGGCAAGGGTGTTACTTTGAGGAGGACACAATCAGTGTCTGCAAGACGTCCTGAGCTACAGACACATACTTTATTAATAATCTTACATACACAAAATGTCCAAGGGAAAGCCTAACAGGCTAGTTTCTGACAGCTCCAGATAACAGCAGGAGGAACTGAAGCCATGCTGACTCCACAGAAGCAATGATCCCTTTCCCACCCAAGGGATGTGATGCAAATAAATAAAGACAATTATCTGCAGAACTTAAAGTGCAAGAACAACACTGTGAAGTCCTTCTCCCCAAGTGCAGTGACTTGTGGGAAACAGATAGGAAAAATAAAAAGAACAGCTGGAAAATTTAATTGCAGGGGAACAACGCAAAGGCTGACACTGTTTCACAGAACTAGCCAATAGCCAATAGCCACTGTCCCTTACCTTAAGATACAGAAGCAGCTCTTCGCTCCTGAAGATAAGCGGCAGAATCCGAATCTCTGTTTGCTGTCAATGTCAGTGAGCACGAACGTGAAGTTCTGGCCAACTTGGCTAACTGTGAGGCTGCAGCAAAGACAGAACAAAGGGGGAAAAATGAATGTGCACTAAGTTTCTTGATAAAGTATCTAATCATGACAAGTCATTGAACCTGTAACACTTCCTTTCTCAGTGGAACTCTTTATAAATGAACTCAAAATTTACACCCTTCAAGGGAACAGACTGCGAGCTAGTAAAACAAAAAAACAAAAAAACCCAGCAAGCAGCCCATTCTAGTGACCACCTCACTACCAAAGTAGCTACCAAACCTTCCACTTACTGAGTTCAGGCAGGTAGCCCTGTTAATCATCTCATCAAATCCTGAAAGGTGCATCCTATTAACCTCATTTTATAGATAGTGACCACCTCATCACCTCATTGGAGCTACCATGCATGCCTTCCATTTATGGAGTTCAGGCAGGTATAGCCCTGTTAATCATCCCACCAAATACTGAAAGGAGGATTCTATTAACCTCATTTTATAGATGAGGAAATAGCCTAGAAGCAGCATTGCCTAAGGTGCCAGCCAGTGAGCTGCAAAGAGCTGTGTTTTAAACCCAGGTCTTTATGATGCCAAAGCCTGCTCTGTCAGCTTGCTGTTAACGACGCTCCCCTGACCATTCCCCTGGCTGGCAAAACCAGTAATGGCAACAGAATTTAAGTGTCCCCCGGGTGCCAGGCATCAAGTTAGAAACTTGATATATAGCATCTCACTTACTCATATCAACCCTGGAATTTAGACGCTGTTCCCATTTTACAGAAAAGGAAACAGAAGGACTGAACAGATAGGTAACTGAATCATGTTCACAGAGCTTCTAAGGGGAGTTGCTGAATTCAAGAGAGCAAGGTTAGCCGCTACTTTCCTACATTCCTGTATCTTTCAGAATTTTTGAGTTTATGAGGGACATATATTTTACAGACAGAAATACAATGCGAGGTGCTAAGAAATGGAAACAGGCTTTAAAGAAATAAAGGCGAAAAAAAAAGCTAAAAATTCCCACATCAACGCAAAATTCAGTACACCACACATAAAGTGACAGAAAATAGGAAATATGTTTCAAACGATTAAAAAGCATATTGCTAATCAGATTAATCTAGAAACTCTTTTTTGCAGTTGCAAAATGTTTTAAAGACCACTCTCTAAAATCAGTTTACAAAAAAAAAAAAAAATCACTTTACCACTTAGCTTGGATTCCTTTTTAAAACCTTAAATATTTCAAATCCTAATACATAAATTTATGCTAACATAATATTCTGGAATTTGACATTGAATTATTCAAAGGAACTCATTAACCTATATTGTATTTTACATGCATTGTATTTTACAAAATACACTCAAATTGACAAAATATTCAAATCAGTGCTCTCACCTATCATTTACTTTATAAGTTGCCAGCAGAAATGAAAATCATTCACCAGGCCTTTTCCAAAGGCAGGCTTATTGAGTCTTTGGATAGGATATGAATTAGTTTTTCAAATATGGATAGCCTTCCTTTCTAAAACTCCTTTATACAAACCACATAATCAAATGAAAATTAAGGAGACTTTCAAGGTATCCCAGCACAAAAAAGGTCAAAGGAAACTACCTGGTCATGTTTAAGGAAACAATTCCATCCCCTAGAGAGTGGTTAGAGAGTACAAGAAAATAATTCCGAAAGAAAAGAAAGTGTTCCACTCTCCTTTTTTAACTAGGAAGGTGAGCGAAAACAAGGTGGCAATTTAAAAGCAGTGTGGTAATAAAACAGGTGTAAGTAATGCTATCCCTCCACCTTACACAAGCCAGAAGAAGGAACACATTTCTATAAAAGTTATAGAGCTGTCCAGGGGACACCAAACTCTACCTTCTTACGGCTGTTATGTTTTATCAATAAAGCTTGGATACTGTGTTACTATGGTGATTTAATACTATGTTTTAAAGGGGGATTATATGATTAATTTTAACAAGGTTGAGAACTGAAGATGTGTGAGAAACAGGATTCTAGCTCACATAATTAAAGTGATTGGGGAGAAAAGTGGGCCTCACTGCGGGAGGAGAAAAACTTGAATTATTAAAATATTAAAAGCAACAGGTCACGATGATGCTAAGTTACAAATAGGTCATGCTTTTATGAAATACTATTATGTGATCATACAAAATATGACTGTTCATTATTTTAACTCAGAGTGTGATTTCCCTTCTAGAATTTTTAAAATGAAACATCCTAGAAGGAAAGGGTTTTGATAGGACTGAATGAAAACACCCAGGATCTCTAGGAAAAGGACACAGAATGAACACAACTCGTTTGTGAATTGAGTATCATTAATTTCCCCATTATCTTTTCACTACCATTAAAAATGCTGAAAATGCTTTTAGCGACATCCTAGGCTCAAATAAAGATTCATTACTCATTTACTTGGTTCATATCCCAACTCAATCACTTGCTCACTGGGCCTTCATTTAGCAAGTTACTTAACCTTTAAGCACCTCAGTCTCTTTACCTGCAATAACAATGAGAAACTACCACCCAACCCAAAGGAGGTTTTGGGAATAAGTGAGATAAGCATTTACTATAAAGGTCAGTCCATAATAAAAACAATTAATAAAAGAGATGCAAGCTGTTAAGTTACCATCTAAAGGAAAACAAAAATTCATATTAAAATCAAGCATTTGCTCAGACTCTTCCCGACTAACTCATTTTTGTAATCCTTATGAGTAGAGAAAGGAAATTTGCCTTTCTCTCTTCTCTGTTGCATCTTTTCAGTAAAGGACAGTCCTCCGGGTGACCAAGTAAGCTGCTCATACTCTCAGTAAAGGGAACATGATTCTTTTGGGCGGGGGTGGGGAATCACAGCTTAGGAGAGAGCACTTGTTATTCTCAGTTGATTCACCTTTTTAATTCCTAATAGGGTGAAGTACAAGCCATTTAAACAAACAAACAAACAAAGGAGGCCCCAAACCATCAAACTCTGAAATCTTTTCTCCTTGGACAATTTTCAATCAACTACAAGTCAGGCAAGGGCAGTCAGAGGTTAACTTGAAGGCGTCTGAACCTCCAAGGAATCTGTCATTCCCTCTCTGCTTGCTGCCGTGCTCTGGGACAGTGTTCATGCTTCCTCCACAAAAATGACTTTGGGGAAGGGTCTGCTTTGTTAAAGGCTACAGTCTTAATGCTTACCTCCAGTATTAGAATCCATAACTTTTTAACAGGAATCAGAGATTTCACGATGATTAAAACTGAGAGGAACTGCAGAAAACATCTCACTTTAAGATGGGAAAACTGAGGCACAGGGATGTTTTTGGTTTTGTTTTTTTCAAAGTATCAGGACTAACACAAAATTCCAAGCCCAATTCCAGTTCAAAGTCCTCTCCATTTTACCAGGCTACACTAAACACAAGGAAACCCTTCCCTCACCTGCAGCTTGCAACTCTGTTAAAGGAACTCAAGTATGTGAGGAATCCAGATAACTGTCTTACCAAACACACCACTTCCCACTAAGCAAGAGAAACCAAATTTGCCCAGGAGACCAGGGCCAAGACCACCCTTAGCTGTGCTTCCAAGGCCTAGATGAATATGGAAAACAAGGGAGAAAAGCAACAAATATTCAAACCAGACTTTAACATTCATGCTGACTTGCCTGTGAGCCATTTAAGGCTCCTCCGGCAGCATTTTGCTTAATCTCAAAGTTACTTCAGATTGAGTGTATAAATTGCATGAAGCATGTCAACAGACAGTGTGATTCCAATCTTCCAGTGAGAGATGGGATTATCCATATTAGCCTTTTAGTTGAGTTGTCCACCTTGTAAACCAAGCAACTACTACACTGGGCACCAGAACAAGTATTGGCCAGCCATCCTGCTATGGAGATTTCCTGCACGTGGGAGAGGAATAATAAACAAGTGTACCACACAGCATACGGCTGCATGTACCAGTGTTTTATGAAACCAAAGCAAGAACAAAGATAGAAGCAAATGGAAGAGAAGGCAAGGCCCTACTCAGATAACAAGGTTCGAGACAGCTTTTCAAAGGTGACAATGATTCTCACCCTGAAGGATGAGGTGGAGTAACCCCTTCAGAAGCAGGGCCTGGGTGTTTCAGGCAGAGGAAAGGGCTAGGGAAAGAGTCTCAGGCTGGAAAGAGCTAGGCATGTTCAAGGAACTCAATGGACACCAGTGCAGTTAACATACAGGAGCTAAAGGGAAAGTGGCATGATATGAAGTTGCTAGATAAAGCACAGAAAGCCTCACAGGTCATGGCAAAGATTTAGGATTTTTTTTGTAAAGGTGATGGAAAGCCACTGAATGGTTTTCATCAAGAGAAAAACAGTCTAGTGTACAAGGGTAAATGTTATGTGGAGAACAGTTTGGAAGAAGTACATGCAAAGAAAGTAATCAGGAAGCTAGTGTACGAGTCCAGGTGAGACTGGAGGCCTAACTCATGTAGAGAGAGTGAAAATGGATCTGGGTGGACAGTTCCAAGTTATAGCTAGCTGGTGTAAATGACAGGCTTGCAGATGTACTGAGAGTAAAAAGACAGCAAATTACCATTTTATGATAGAAAAGACAAGTTTGGGGGGAGATCTAAGAGTTCCATTCAGGATATGTTAAGTCTGAGAAACCTTAAAATAGAAATGTCAAGTACATGTTGAACATACTACTTAGGAAATCAGAGGAAAAAGTTTGGCCTGGAGCTATAAATTGAAGTCATCTACACACAGACGTATTTAATGCCATGGTAAAGAACAAGGTCACTTACGGAGAGCATTCAGAGAAACAAAAGAGGATCCAGGATGAGGTTACAGAAGCACCCATTTAGAGAATGCAGGGAGAAAAGACCATCAAAGGAAAAATGGAGAACAAGCAGGAGGGACTGGACAACTGTACCCATGAATCACGATGAGAGAGAAAAAATGTTTAGTGAACTGAGCAGTATCGAGGTTGCAGATAACCTTGATTAAGAAAAGCTCTAGTTGAATGACAGAAGCAGAAGACAGACTGGAGAGGGCTGTGGGATAAACTGAAGTGTGCAGCTAACTCTTCCAAGAAGAGA